GTACTTTACAAATTGTGCAAAACATTCTCTTCATTGCTGCATCATATTTTAACCATTTATATATGTTAGCCATTCATACTAAAAACTTTTCTTGATTTTTAAAATGCACTTTTTTATTTGACATTATAATATGGTTTACACTTAATTCACTATTTTTTCTTTTTTTTTATTTGATTTTTTGGAAGTACCATCATCATCTGAACCTTGAATTGTCAAATCACCTGAACCTTCTATATCTGATTCATCAACATTTGTTTCATCTATAAATGCTTCATCCCAAATTTGAGTAGTCAAATTATCTAATTCTTCTTGTTCTATACTATTTATTTTTTGAATAAGGGAAAACAAATACACATAATTCATAAAGTGTATATATTTTTAAATTTAATAATTTAATAGTAGTGAAATAAGATTTAAGTTTTTGGGCAAGTTAAATTTTATTTTGGCAAACATTTTGGTCAAAGTAGAGAAAAAACCACACATAAGTGGCAAACAAGGTGTAAAGATGAAAGTTACATGCATCATTCATACCTGGATTGCCAAATAGTTATTTTTACAGGATGGATTAAATGGATTATATTGCACTTGTATGTACTGTATGAGCTTAAAGGTAAACATGTGTTATGTTGATTGTCTAATTATAATTTTATTGTTACATGAGTATCTTGTAACAAATATTTATTTAATTAAAACTTAAAATTTAAAATTTCTAATAATTATTATCATCATCATGTAACCAAATTTTAATGGTGCCTAAATTTGTGCAAGCTGAGTTCAGCTTTTGTAATAAATCTTTTGTCACATCCAAGTACATTACATCCATAGTTTTTTATTCCAAGATGACGTCTTGTGTGTGTTTGTAATTCACTACTTAGACAAAATGCTTTTGCACATCCTGGATATTCACATTTGAAATTTTTTATTCCAAGATGACGTCTTGTATGTATTTGTAATGTACCATTTTGACAAAATGCTTTTGCGCATCTTGGATATTCACATTTGAAATTTTTTATTCCAAGGTGAGATCTTGTATGTCTTTGTAATGCACCACTTTGACAAAATGCTTTTGCACATCTGGATATTCACATTTGAAATTTTTTATTCCAAGATGATATCTTGTATGTATTTGTAATTCACGATTTTGACAAAATGCTTTTTCACATCCTGGATATTTACATTTGAAATTTTTTATTCCAAGATGACGTTTTGTATGTATTCGTAATTCACCACTTTGACAAAATGTTTTTGCACATCCTGGATATTCACATTTTTTTTTGCCATGAAATTTACCAAGAAAGAAAAATAATAAAATTAGAAAAAGCAGAATGAAAGTGTGTGCTATTACTCAACAAAAAGCAAAAATCCTTAGAAGGAAAATAATCTCATCATTATAGTATTTATTATTATCAATAATAATGTAGTATTAGTATTTATATCTGCTGGTTTTTCATTATCTTCATCTCTATCTCTTCCTTTTCAATTTACTTCTGAATTGCTTCTAATGTTTTTTTTCTAGGATTTGCCTTTTGTTTATGGAAATTTTAATAGTAGAAGTGACAACTCCTTTCTCCTTAAGTAATTCACGAATTTTAATGGTCATTTCATTAAAGGAAAAATCGGAGTCTTTTGTCAAATAATTCTTTGAAGTTACACCATGGACTTGCGAATATTTTTTATCAGCAGTAAATTTGTTTGTTCTATTTTTAATTTTGTTCTATTATATCGATTATTTGATTAATTTTTTTGATTATAATACAGAGTCGATTTTTTGTAAGTTTAAAGTGAAGAAACCAAGCAGGAGTTCAATTAACAACCCACAAAAAGTTCACAGTTGAAAGCAAGCATTTTCTTAAGAAGTTATTATGGATGGAAATATTGTGTAAATATTTATTGATTATTTTTTAAGCAGAATAAAATCGTATTTAATGATGATTATTAGGAGGGGGGGTTTTAACATATCTTTAGCAAATGAGGAGAGGTGGAAAGGATACATTTTTTATTATTATTACTATATTAACATATATGTATATATATATAAAGGAAATTTTCCCTTATTATTATTGTTATGCAAATTTAATGATCAGTAATTGTGTGTAAATCGCACAATTTTGTGCATTCTCGTCTTGGTGATATTGATGGCGATAGTATTGGTGATGTTGTTGGCAATAGCTTTGATGATGACAATGATGATAACCTCCTCTATAAATACAAGTAAAAAATTAATGTTTCAGTTTATACTTACACGTTTCCTATATGAGCCAGTATTATAGTTTATTTTCTTTCTTTTCCTAAGATTATGATTATTCTGTAAGATTTTTAAAAAATTAATGCATAAGTTGACAAAAAGTAAAAATAAATAAAATCAAAGATTGTTAAATATTTACTCTTTCCACTCTTTCCACGATGTAAATCCTTTCTTCTGGTGTATCACCAATATCATTGGTATTATCGGTATTAATACCATTATTAAGTTCATCATCATTTAAAGTTCCTTCATAACCAATGGAAATATTTTGTAAATCGGTATTATCGGTATTAAAGTTAATATCATTATAAGTTCATCATCATCATCATCATCAGTTCCTTCATATTTAATAAAAATATTTTAATAAATCTGATTATTCTTTAAAAAGATAATCAAGGTATTATTAGCATACTGATAAGTTAATAATAAATAGACTATTGTCATTGTCTTGACCTGAGTGATGTCGTTGTGTAAGTAAAAGGCACGAAGCTTGCTGTCACGATTTCGTTTAAAAGCTTCAATTGATGTGACATGGCACACGACTACTATTACTGTTACTATGCTTAAATTAATTATCAAATCATATTTGCTGATAAATTTTTTTGTTTTTTAAAAAATCTATTTCGAAATGAATTATAAAGTTCCAAATGGTATATATTATTATTATTAATTAATTCATATTATTTTTATTTATTTATATTTACATTTGGTTGTTTTAATAGATTGTTGGGTGTATATTGATAATAATGATGATAAAAACAAAGAAATTTTAAAAATTTATCATAACAACAACAATTGCAATTATGATGAAAATCTAAGTGGAAATGATTCAACCGATAGTGAGATTTATGATTCAAATAATGATAATGAAATTGAAATATATGAAGATGAAGATAGTGATAATAAAATTGGCGGTGATGATGAAATCAATAGTGAGGATTGCAACGAAAACAGTGATAAAAGTAACAATGGATTTTTTTGTACAGCTTCAAATTGTGGTAAATATTTCAGGGATAGAGTTTTCCTTAACA